GGAGGGATCTGGAGACTGACTTCTAATACAAGAAAGGGAGAGAGAATAGGTCTAGAGTGATGTGTTGTACTCTACATCTAGCTTATCATCCATCCATCTACACTGCAACAAATGTTTTATGTCAGTGGCATTTTCTTAAAGTGTGTAAATCATCCTTGTTTTTTTTTTTTGCCGTTCTTCTGTGCTGCAAAATGTCATTTTACAGTTCTTGTATTTTCTACATCTTTTCTTTACCTTCACGTGTGCCACTTATTTTTGCCCCATCTTCCTCCGGGCTCTAACTCTGTTTAAAGAGTTAGCCCCTGCCTCTGCAGAGAGGAAGGCAGGGGCTTCCTCTCTGCATTTGTCTCTCACATTCACCCTCTGTTTTTCTCCAGCCATCTTGACTTTCCACCCGTCTCTGTCTTCTCTTTCATCTTTGTCCCTATCTCCATCTTCCTAATATGTGCACTGCAAATGCTTTGCTGCAGGCATGCTTTTGAGGGTATCAATAATAAAGACATGGGTACATGGACAATTACGCTTTGCATATTTTAGTATCACTCCTCACTGAACACATGTGTGATGCGGTCCATGTCTTTTTGTTAATTTATTGTACATGTGCTGAGTATGTTTGACCACTGTGCTGCTGCGCTTGCCTGAAGTGTTTGCTTTGCTGGTACATGTAATGGCCATCTACTGTATATCAGCCTTGGCAACACAGGCGAGACATGTGTCTTTCTAGAAGTATTATTATCATGGCTTTGAGCAAATTACAGGATTTTGTAATTGATATATTTTAGGTCCAGTATGTGGAAGCTCCTTCTCTCAGCCATTTTCTCATTTCACATCTAATGTCCCCGGTCCGTTGCACTTGGATGAGTTCAGCACTGAATCACTGCTCAGCTTAGAGGTCACCGAACTGTGCTGGTGTGAAGCTCACCGACCCCACACAGTTTGCATGTCTCATGGGTCCCCAGCTGGTGACGGCAAGCGGACATTGCTCGGCAGGCACGCTTGCGTGTGTCCAGAGGGTGGAAATTCCAGACTGAGACCTTTGCCGGAGAGCCAGCATTGCCAGTTAAAGAAGCCCTTGTATGTATTTGGCAGTGGGACCCTGATATTGAGCCCAGACTGTTGTTTTTTTAGGCGCTGGTCTGCAGTCTGTGGAGCCTTTCCCATTCCCTCTTTAGAACTGTGATACAACTTGTTGCCTCCTTATCTTCACAACAAACTGCAAGCCTAGGACTGATCCCAGCGGTAGACCACTGGAGAATAAAGTTCCTAGCTGTGGGGTTCGCTTCCAGGCAGGACTGCCCCATGTGGCTGGACCGGGCAGCACAGCTCCCCTCACCCCTGCCTGGCTTTTCTCCCTCATTGCCATTCTGGTGAGGGCCTGCAAATTTAATGTGGCTGCAATACTAAATGGCTCTAGAGCAACAAGAATGCAGTTTCTCCTCTCGCGCCACAGTACCTCCTGCCTGGGCTCCTCTCACTGCTCAAGGCACTTATTTTGTGGTTGGTTTTCAAAAGCAGGCTTCATAGCAGCTACCATAGAGAGCCATGCCCGGGCTACAGGGGAATGCACATATTTTAAACAATATCTCTGGTGGCCATTATTTTCCAGAAGGCTCTTGATGTTGAAAACATGGGTTGGAAATAAGAAATCCATGGCATAGTAGTTTGATATATTGTCGCTGTGATCAGTCATGTTCCGATAAAACAGAAAAGCAACCACAGCATATACACACTTTTCATATTTTTTTATTTCCATCCAATTTTGAAATATTTGCGTGTGTGTGTATTTCACTTCTCGGCTGGTAAGTTTGAACCCCATGACCATACACAGCGGACTTTGATGAGTGTGAGCTGTCTCCTCTCTTCTGTCCAGCCTCTGGACGCTCATCTTTCAACATGTTACTGGCCCATACTATACCATTACAGCATTGCAGTCCCATTGCAGGCAAATTGGCGAGAGCCAGCAACACCTGGAACGATTGTTTCCCTTTCATTCACAACATGAAGGATATAGAATCAAGGTGGTCTTGAAATTTACAGTAGGAAGGTGGGATTACATATTACAAGGCAGATCCTATATTTTCAAATAAAAAAACAACCACATTCTTATTGTCTTAATTAGGAAGGTCTGGTGTCCCAGTTTTTCAGTTTGTCAAAATATTAGCTTGCAACATACACATGCATGACAAAACAAGCCAGCCCAGTGGATCACATGGCCTGCAGAACTAACGTTATTGTTTAATGGTGCTACAACAAATACAGTGCTGTCGGGTACATCTTTGACGTAAAAGATGGAAAAAAAAATTGTGAAAAATTACATTTTAGAAGGAATTCTGCTTTACCTGTGCAGCTCATGAGATTTCTGATACTCTCAGTCTGAATGCCTTCATATTTAAGTAATCATTTTCATTAATATTGTTATTTAAATGAATGATCTTTCGTGTAATTACAATTGAACACCTGGCCTTTCTGTTTTAAACTATTCAGAGTGTTTACTTTGGAAATGTACTGAAATGTACCTCAACATGTCTGCTTTTTATCCTCTTGCCTCAATGATTTTTGATAAATAAAAAATAGATTTTAGGGAGTGCTGGCTTTTTTTCTGTTTCTCTGATTTTATGCATTTTTAAACTTCAGCACCCACTCAAGTTTGATTGGTTTGCAATGAGCTGAGCATGTTTTATGTCGGCTGTTTACGATCCGTTCTGTACACTGAAACCGGCAGGAAATCTTTAGCTTTGGTAGCAAAATAAATGAGATTCCAGGATCTTTGAACACTTTAATGCCCAAACTAAAGGAAAAAAAAAAAACAAATGAAACCCAGACTGTCGGTATAGACGCCAGTGGGAAAATCAAAAGTGAGCTCCAGATATATATATAAACTTGAAGCTGAGCTGTAAAGATTTCTTCTGTGCAATACCAGAGCATAAGAAGATGTGTTGCAAAGCTCGGTTAGAAATCTTCTTGCTACATCTGATAAATACCGTGCTTCTGTAGAGAATTATTTTTTAGTTCTGTGTAACGCTGTTGTGCGTTACTGCATTATTCCTTACAGCACCAACATTAATAGTAGTACGTTGTGGTTATTGTGACATGCATACATTAAAGACAAGTGGGGGGTTTTGTATTCTCTGATGTGTCACATACAGTGTCAGCAACCCTAAGAGCGTGAACCCTAGAGCGTGGGGTTTGCCAGTTCCAGTCCATACTGTGCAGTGCAGCGACTAGGATTAGGAGATCAAAATGCCATTCCCACTTTTCGGGGCCTGGGGGGATGGGTTTCCTGACCTTCATAGTGTCTGACTGCTTGCATACACACCACACACAAGCTTGATTGTCTCTGTGTAGGATGCAAAGAGTGTGTGAATGTACTTTTTTATAAAGATTCCCGAAGATCCATGCAGGGGAGCAGTCCTGACTTGGATTGAATAGTAATTGACCATTCCCTGTTGTCGTATGAAAAGTGAAAATGTATGTGAAGTCCTCGGTCTTATTGATAAATAAGGAGAGGGGCAAGGGGATCATAATTGTTTCATTGGAAAGGCATTGCTGACCACATGGGAAATGGATAGGCAACCTGTTTCTGACAAACAGCTTCACAGCCCAGCCCCAAAAGGCTCAAAGCTTGCTGTTATTGTGAGGTGTTTGAGAGGCTGACAAATGCCACGTCTGAGAAATGAATTGCTGGCTGTCGCAGGTAATCATTAGGTAGCCTGGCAGCAACTTAAGTGTTATGTTTTTATTTCTGCAGTTTGGATTTGAAGAAAGCTGGATGTTTAACAAGGGAAAAATATAATCTTGCCAATGAGAGGGGAAAAAAAACCCCAAATCAAATGTTTCAATGTAAAGTTTTTCTTTCCTTGCAAGCAATAAGCAAAATCTGAACATTCATCGTTAAACTCTTAGGTCTAAAATGGCAATACAAAGCAAAAAGTCACAGCAAATACATATTTAAACTATTTTCTTAAGACTCAATTGGTCTGGTATGTCAAGGACATACTGCAGCTCATCTGTATTTTTAACATAATATAATACAAATAATAACAATAACAGAGCGTGTGTGCTGCAGTAAGCAATGCCGGATTATGCTTCTTGATGTTTTAGTTATAATTTGAACAAAGATCCCCGGCCCTAAAACAAACATTGTACAAAAGATCTGAGAATTCTTGGAATGCTTTTCACATAAAAGTTTCTAAACACTCATATTAACTGGGCTTTTATGAAATTCAATGTCATCTGTTTTTGGAATGCAGATTCTGAGTACATGCCTTGCCTTAAATTATCTTTCTGATGCCAACTTACTGAGCATAGCGATGGGCCCTAAAAACTGATTAAAAGCAAGCAGAGGAAATTCTCAAGTTTGAGAGCTACAGGTAAGAACAGGAATAGCTCCGCAGAGGTAGCTGAAAGGTTCCTGTACTGACACTGGTGATGGGCTCGTGGATCATCAGTGCTGACCTTCAAGATGTTGTCTGACCAGGAGCAAAACTAAGAATGACAGTGTCTTAGACCTATTTTGATAAGGATCCACTTCCTCAGTCGAGTGAACAGTGGGGAAAAAAACGAAAACCGGTAAAGAAAGAAAGAAAAAGCTTTTTTATGTATGAGGAATTAAGTCGAGTCAGTATAAGTGCTCTCTGTTCTTTTTGTGTCCAGTGCCTTAGTGTGTGCGGATTATAACTGGATTGGCTGCACTCACCAGCTGGGTGTCACTGTCTCACTGTTTTATTGTGAAGGGCCTTGGCCTGCCTTGGCATGAGCAGAGCTAGCAAGAGCTGGTAGTGCTGTATGTTTCCTCTTGCTGTTTGTCTTTAAGGCGTTTATACTGTCTGACACACTTACAGTATATAAAGCAACACATTTTCTGCATTAGTATAAGGCTGAACGATTTACAATCGGGACATGACTGGGTTTAAGCATGTCAATTGACCTGTGTTCATGAACTAAAGAAAACAAAGAATCCAATTAATCTAAATGTTTTCCCCTCTCTTTTTGTTTTGCAGGAAATCGCAGCTTATTTAATAACGTTTGAAAAGCATGAAGAGTGGTTAACAACATCCCCTAAAACAAGGTATGAAAGTGCCTTCCATTGATATGAATACTATTCAGTAGAGCCGAATTTTTTCATTTTACTTTCTTCAACTTAAACTTTCCTGCCTATGTGGTTAATCAGAGCAGAAAGGAGTTGATTTGCCAGTTTTTACTTGAAGGGTTGCAATGCTTCCAGTTATGTGCTGCAAATGGCCATTTTGTAAACGGCTTATACTTTTCAGTATATGTACTGTGCGATAATGGAATATTAATGTCCACTTATAACTTGAAACCGCAGTCATGCTTATTAATACAATGTACGCTTTTCTCATTTACAGTATAAATGTGGAGTTAATGTATTCAGTGTTAATAGTGTATTTACTATCCATCGATAAAAGGTCATTTGCAAGAACTCAACTAAAGTCCGACTGAGACTTTATTACAGGGCTTGAAATGAATAGCTCTCTGGTGTGCAGATGAGAAGGGAGTGGATCATGCTGGAAAGCAGAACAGAAATATAACCCTGCATGGGGTGGTACAGTAATCCTGTGTACAAAAAACATGATGCTTTAAAGAAAACTAGAATACAGTAATTATTTAATTTAAAGTAGTTGTTTGTATGACCTGTATTTCCCTCTTTTTACTAAAGCAGCATACTGCTGTCCCTATGCTCTTTGAATTATGTTAATGACCTTGCTGAAATTATTTTTCTGTGTTGGCTAACTCCCTCTGGCTCTTGGAGTCACTTCTTAGGGCAAATTGACGTGGAAGGCTTATTGGCCCATCCATCATGCAAGGAACTGAAATACTTCCCCAGCTCAGTTCTCCATTGAGTTTTTTATATTCGATACTGTTATCATTACAAAAATAAGCAAACCGCAGTTAAAGAAGATAAAAATTGGCTCTAACAGGAAGGGAAATATGGAGCCCAAAAAAGGAAATCATTAATAATTGTTGACATTTGCATAGTGGTTTTCATCCCCAAGGATCCTAAAGCATTTAACAGATAGGAGTGGATCCACTTCTTTCTCCCGCTCTCATGCTGAGACCACCTGGGTGATGCACAGCAGCTACTACACCCAACAATCCCAGCACACAGTAGCTCAGCAGAAGTGAGAAACTGCTTGACCAGTTGAATTAAGGGTAAATCTTATAAACCCGTTTGTACTGGTTTGGAGTAGAATTAAGCCAGGACACCACTTTTCCAAAAGGTCAGTTCAGATAAACCGACAGTGTCCAGTTGACCGTTGTTAGCTCAAGACTGTTTCCTGCTGTGTATACTATATTGTATGTATATTGTACCTACCCTGTGATCTGCTGCACTGTACCATAATCCAACTACAGCCAAGGAATGAATTGTGTCAATTGTACTGGAAGTTTGAAATGTGAGCTCTAAGAAAGCTGTTAGAACAGTTTGGAGAAGAGCAAGCAAATCACTGATGGTGGGCAAAAGATTAATCGAGCTACCGGGAGAAAATCTGGATACAGAGTGCCATATGGTGTTTGTTTCCGTTATATAAAGCATGCGTGTTTTATACATACCCCATATCAAAAATGATAGCTGTACCCCTCCCTATAAACTTGTTTTTTTTAGTGCACCAGCCCCCTTTTTTGTTTCTTGGCTGTGTGATTTGTCCCGGGGGTGGCCCGCGCTGGAGTCCTGCGAAGCTGAGAGTCCTCTGGGGGAGGGAGGAAGGGTGAATAGCGGGTCACTCGAAGCGGCGCCTGTAACTCGGCGCCTGCCTGCACTCCCCCTGAACCCCCGGCTCCAGAGCCGCGCTCCTCGCGCCTGGAACAGGCTGTGCTGTCTGCATCACAGAGCAGCTTGATGTGCGCCTTTCAGCAGCGCTGTAGAACCGGGAAGTCCCAGCTCACTTCCAATTAAAGAGGGCAGGCTGTTACACGATCTGACAGTGCTGTGTTTTGTTGCACCCGCGGTTGCCAAATGTGGAGCAGTCAATTTTATTTTTTGCGCTTGCGGAGGCTCTTTGAACGGTGTGTCCTTAAACAACACACTGTACCCACCGACTAGGAATCCAAGCTAATCCTCGACGATTCGGCAGAGTTTAATAGAATTGATCATTATTTCTGTCCCGTAGTCTTGAGTCAGCAGCCCTTACTTGGTTTAATTAAATGTCTTCATTCATGTGCAAATGGACCCCGGGCAGTCTGACATAGAACTGACAGAGGATTCTTCACATGCCCTTTGCCCATACAGGAAATTGATAGCAGTGACGTCTGGCTGTGCAGTATGTGTAAGCATGTTTCTAAACAATTTCTTTGCTTAGTTTTCCCCCGATTTACTGGAGAGGGCCCCGAAACCAAATTCATATCCTACCCTGCCATACCATAAGGATGTTCCGTAGAAGAATGCCCATCTTAGGGGAACTTTTCCAGGCGGTTGTCCAACGGATGTTAATCTGTTAATCACTCCGCTGTCATGCTTCCAAAGGTGTGTTCTGGACAGAGCTCATTCTATGCAGCTGGAAACAAAGCCCCAGAAAATTAGCAGATTTCTGGCAATGTTCAATTTAAAATGTACATGTTTCTAGAGCCACATTTTTAAAAAAAAGCCCTTTTGTCAGTTGACAACCGTGAACTCATCCATTTCAAGTTACTGTATGGAGACAAAATGAGCCAATATTCAGAACTACAGTATACAACGCTTTTTCTTCAAACAAAAGAGGTACCCTTGATTTTGGTTTGCACTTGAATTTGTGTCTTGTAATATCTTTTTAAACCATTTCAGAGGTTTTTTTCACTAGGAATCAGCGTGCTGTAATTTGTGTAGATATTTTGAGTGCATTAAACAGGGATTGTTTTTGCATCCTTTTACGTAGAACAGTAATGAACAGGAGAACAGCAAGATCTGAATCCTGATTGTCTATAAGCCAGTGCTGCTCTTGGAAAGGTCAAAGGGTAAAGGTCAGAACACTGGGAGTAAGGGTTAAATGACTGATCTAGTTTGTCATTTTTATACTCCTCAGTGAGCCATAAGAGGTAGCATGTGGGGCCAGGAGCTGCACAGCCCAGTAATTCTTTCTTAGAAGTCAAGCTAATGGCAGGAGTCAATGGGCCAGGGTGTTGCTAATAGATAAGCTGTAGGGTCATGCTTGGTGTGGCAGGCAGCGTTGTTCTCTAATTCCAGGCTACAAGTAATATCAGCAGATCCCTCAGATGAGAAAGACATCTTGAATATATAGGTATTCCTCTGTGCCGACGTGCTTGTGAAAGTAACAGACGACTTTGTCTTATAAATACTGTATAAATGTGTGACTAGTAGTAACTTACTGTATTTATACAAAGTACTGTGTGCAATGCATGTGCTGAAGTGTATACCACTTGTGCTGCTGCAAGAATTATGTTATTGCAGGGACACATGGAGTTGGAACTGCACGCTGCAAGCTACACAAGAAATTACGTAACCACTGACGTGCACAAATGTCCACAATGTCATATGCAAACTTGAAGTGGAAAGAGAACTTCAAGAAGGGCTCGTGGATTGAAATTCACGCGCTCACAAATGCGCAGACTCTCTGTTCTGGTGCGACCTGGGGTCAGTCAGAATAAGATCAGCGGGGCCATGTTTAGCTTTCGTGCAGCTTGTGATCAGCCAGGGGAGCAACCCAGCATGGGGTGATTGATGTGTACAGTCCCTGTAATATACAATCGCTTTTCAGAGAGGAAGTGCAACAGTGCTTAAAATCAATAAAGCTGCTCTCATGCTGACTGCTAGAACAGCACTACAACTAATTCAGGTATCACCTGTCAAAATTGGGAAAACATTTCCAAATAGTTCTCTCATACTGTAATTTACACACTTCCCTGGCTTTCTGCCCTTTTCTGTACTTTTTCCTTTTACTGTTCCTTAATGGAGGAGTGTGTGTCACCCATGCCCTGTTTGGGTGCTTACATAGCGTGTGTTCGGTTCCACGTACAGTATGTTGTTTGTTGGTTCTTGTTACACACCCTTACAGTATTAAGATTATTTTCGCAATGATGTGAGACAAGTGTTTGCTGCAGACAACTTTCAGTCCCGAAGAGATGAAAATTCCTCGGGGAGCACTGAGATTTTTTTGAATTGGTGCAGCTCTGATTAACATCCCTACTCCCCCTCGATTAACATTTACTGTTAACTTTCTGGCCGCCTCCTTTCAGTATAGTTACTGTATGTATCTTCTCAGGCATTCATATAAGGAGAAAGAGAACCAGAACCCCAGGAACCAAGAACAAATGAAATAAAGGGCAAAACGTTAACAGGCACCGTGACCTCCTCCTTTCTGTTGTGCCTCCTTGCCTGGTTTTGCAGAAACAAATCCTGAATATTGCAGATATTTTAGTCAGTGTTGCAGAGTTTGTTAATTGCTGAAAACAAATCACTTCCGTTTCACTTAATCTTGTTGGCTGCAGTCCTCTTCATTTGAGCAGGCTGTACGGCACAGCACAGTGATTCCAGGACACGTCTCGCAGCTAGAAAGGACGCCCTTCACTGTTCCCTGCCCTCAGGTATACAAGCATTTGACTCTTTTGAGGATCTTGGAGCAGTACTCTGCCAGCGAGTGGGCCCGTGTGGTGGGCTGAGTGGTCTCCATTTTGCTTTTAAGCCGTCTTCTGTTCCGAGAACTCCCGGTGGCTCTCTGTGGCTTGTCTGTTCTGGAAGGGGTGATGTGGCACGTTCTGTGATATTGAAACTATCAAACAATACGCCGGCGTTCTCGGAGGGCACTGAGTGACACTGCATTCAGACGCCTGCGTGCCTCTGTTCCCCTTCCTCAGTCAGACGCTGCTCCGAAATGAAACCCGGTGTCCCAGAAGGCCTGTTCCAAAGACACTTCTTTTATTAAAACCTACAGCAATAACACCGCCTGGAAAGGAGGAGGAGAAAACAAAAATCCTTATGGAAATAACTCGTTCTTTCATATAAAAATTTAATACAAAATGAGTGCATGTCCTTGCCAATATCAATATGCTCACTGTTTTTGTGTTTGAGTGTGCATTTAGGTTTTGTGTGTAATTGTTAACAGGCGTTATGATTCAGTT